ATGGAGAGAGAAAGCCGAGGTTCAAAAGCAGGCAACTCCAGAGCACAATGCTCTATTGTTGTCTTCTAGGTATTATTGCTATTGTTATGCAAGTGAGGAAACATCAGCTAAGATGAGTAAAGGTCATACATCAGGATTATTACACAGTTATTAAGTGGTAGAGGTAGGATTAAAACATAGTCCAAGAGACTCCAAAAACTTCATCCTTTATATCAAATTGCCTTTCTTAGATTTTTCAAAGAGTGATCTAGAATTAATTTATACTAGGAAACAACATATTTTAAAATAAAGAACTTAAAGAATTTCTCAAAAAAAAAAAGGAAAGGAAAAGAGAAAAGAAAACAAAAATGCTTTAGGTTCAATGGGTATCAACTAAGTTCCACATAAATAAAGACACTGACTGAGCCAGCTTGACAAGATGGGGAGGAGATATATTCAGAACATTCCACTTCCGGGTCATGTTGGGTGGGGATGAGTACTTGGTTTGACTTCTTAGGATACTTGCTGTACTCATTGAAGTGTAAAGATGTTTTGTAGTATTATATTTCTGGTATTATGAGCTACAGTGAAAAAAAAAAAAGGATAATTTGTTGCTCGGTGGTCTTAGAAATAAGATATATAATCTCATTAAGAATGTTGTTTAAATTACTATTGCTAATTTAATTGCGATAGCCCTACTATTCACAGGTTCACTATAAGGTGTTCTCCATAAATTGTCACTAATTCTTACAATCACTCAACCTGTTATAATCTCCATTTCCAGATCAGCAAACTAAAGCTTAGAGAAAGGAAATGACTTGCCTAAAAACACACATCTATTAAGTCACGAAAAAGGGATTCACATTCTGGTCTTGAAAGACCATACTCTTCACATTATACCATGCCATCCTCATACTTTGTGATCAAAATGATCATATTTCTTATTTAATATTCATTCATCTCATGTGTAAAATAACCAATAATAGTATTTACTCACAGGGTTTTTGTGAAAGTTAAATGATATAAGTTACATAATGCATGTGAAGCACTTATCACCAGTTTAACATATAGCAAATTCTCAATAAATGTTTATTTTTGTTGTATATTTATGCCATATACTGGAAACTGGACCAGGTGCTGGAGAAACAGGTAAATAGGATGCTCTATCTTTCCTCCAAGGGCTTATATTAGGCATTGGAGAGAGAGGGTAGAATAGATTTTACAAATAATTATAATATAGTGTTATAAATGTAACAACAGATATAGTTCCATAGGCGGAGTGTTGGCATGGAGGGACTGCTGGCCATTCTACCTGTGTGGTGAAGAAAATGATCACACAGCTCTGGTCATTAATGTGGCAAGCCTCTCTTGAGTGTAATATCATCAAAAGGACTTTAAACGATTTGACTTTAAAATATTGTTTTTGTTGTTTCCTGAAGGGCAGGTTAAACAAAATAGGTTCTATGAATAAGTGTAAATTCTGTTGGCAAGGACTTAAATTGTGGTGTTGCACCTGGAGAAAGAAATAGAACAGAGTCTGCGGTATCCCTGAACCACCACAGTGGGCAGGAAGGGGTGGAGAAGGAAAATCATCATTCCTAAAGGAAATACAAATGTTCCACACCCAGAGGAAGCCTTTCTTTAGCAATTGTAGAAATCACCAGCTTGTGTGCTTGCTCTATCCCCCAAGCCTGTCAGTGTGCCCCACGCACTTCTTACACAGAGCTATGGGCAGACTTCCCTTTTAGGAGAGAGGTCTTGTGGGGAAACACTATCCCATAACAAGATGTACAGCTTATATTAACTATACCGGTCTTCCATTTATAAATATGAACCTTAACTAGAAGATCAGAAGAATTTTGAGGAAAGGCAATTGCATGAAAGAGAAGGATCAAGATAAGCAATGTGAACAACAGAATCTCCCCCAAAAGAAATAATGTCAGAAATGAAAGATGTTAAAAATAAAACTTGTGTTAGTAACTTCAGAGAAATTCAAGAAACTATTGCATCTATAAAACAAGAACAAGCTGCCATAAAAATGAGCACCTAGAGAATTAAGTTCTTAGAAATTAAAAACGTATTTTAAAAATAAAGGATAAAAATGTATAATAAATATAACTGAAGACTAGGTTAATCATCTGAAAATAAAGTCAAGGAATTCTCTCACAGCATAGATAAAAAAGACAGAGGAGTAAATTAATAGAGGATGGAGCCAAAGAATACGACATCCATCTCATAGTGATTTCAAAAGAGAGAAAACAGTGTTTTTCTAGGAGGTATATAATGGTAGGGATAATTAAATAAAAACAGGTAAGGATTTCAGAGGAGAGTAAACAGAAGTAATAGTGGGGGAAAAAAGTAATAAAAGAAACAATAGAATATACTTTTCTCAAGCTGAAGAGAGATTTGATTCTTCAGAATAAAAATACTCTTTGAATGCATAGTTGGAAAAAGCAAAAAAATAAAGGCAGGTGCCTAGACCAGAGGTCCTCAAACTTTTAAAACAGGGGTCCAGTTCACTGTGCCCCTCCAACGGTCTGAGGGACGTGAACTGGCTCCCTGTTTTAAAAGTTTGAGGACCCCTGGCCTAGACCTTTCATAACTCCAAGGTGAAAAATCAAATCTTAAACATTTCCAGGAAACAAGAAAACAGATTACCTGCAGAGAGATAATAACTTTATTATCAAATTTTGGAATGTTGGCTATTAAAGGCAATGGAATAGTGTTCTAAAACTTTTGAAATATTTGGAATCTAGAATTTTGTAAAAATCTATATTATCATTCAAGTCTGAAACAAATCAAGACATTTTCAGACCTCTAGATATTTGGAGAATGTATATCTATGCACCTTTTCTGAAAAATAATACTGTAAAATTTCCTCCAGTAAAATAAGAAAGTGATTCAAGAGAGGATGATGTATGATATAAGCAGCAATAGTAAAAAAATAAGCCAGTAAATACCATAGTTTAGTATAAATTACTTTGAAATTGTGTTTATGAAGCTTAGTGCTGTTGTTAAGAAATATTTCTTTAGATGCTGAAAGTACAACAAAAAAAACCTTGGTATTCATCTGGAACTAATAAAATTGCAGATTATTTCAAACATACATTATGGAGTTTGGGATAGGAAGGGAATCTTGTTTGGAGATAATAAATTATAGGTACTGATTAATTTTAAGCATGGCTAGAACACTCGCTTAATTATTGTGTATGCTTTTTTTATTTTATTTTTTTGAGTTGGAGTCTCACTCCACCCAGTCTGGAGTGCAGTGGCATGCACGCTCACAGCCACTCCAACGTTGACCTTCTGGACTACAGCAATCCTTCTGCCTCAGCTTTCTGAGTAGCTGGAACTACAGACGGGCGCTACCATGCCAGGCTATTTTTATTTTATCACAGGGACGAGATCTCGCCAAGTTGCCCAGGCAAGCTCAGACAATTCACTTGCCTCGGTCTCTCAAAGTGCTGGGATTACAGGCTGAGCCATTGAGCCTGGCCTATTGCATATGTTTTATCCACTTGAAGAATAAACTTAGAACATACAATGGTCCAACAATTAAAAGGGAAAATGGACAAAGAAAATTTTATTAATCTACATGAAGACAAGAAAGGAGAAAAAGAACAAAAAGCATAACAAAGAGAAAGCAAAAAAAGATGACATTAAAAAGACCGTATTAGATAGCACATCTGTTATTACAAAATGAGACTCAGTGAAAATCTCACATTAAATGACCATCCAAATGGACTAAGAACAATCACACAAACTAAACATCCAAATGTATGCTATTTGTAATAGGCATATCAAATAAAAGCAAATGAAAAAGTATTTTGAGATAGAGGTCCCTAAAAAAATTATTTACAGGCAAATTGTTAAAAAAAAACCTGAAATATTAATTTAATATAGAACAATATGGAATATAAGGTAAAAAGCATCAGATGGAACAGTAGTAATTTTTTATACTGATTACTGGTAAAATCCACCAAGAAAGTGTATGACCATGAGTCTTTGTGCACCAAAGAAAAAGCATTGGAATAAATAAACCAAATCTGTTGGAATCACAAAGAAATCAACTTCTTTCAGAAATCTCTGTGGCAATAACTTAACTTGCTTCACTTTGAAACTACAAAACCATTTGAGTCTTTTGCCAATTCCATTTAATTATCATTTATCTTTATATTAACATTCTACTGTTGCTCTTTTTTGCCCTCTCCCTAAGTACCTTATCAAAATGAACACTTTAGGGCCTTTTTATTTTGGTTGCTTTACAAGATGCTACAGTCAAGAGGACTTTATTTGTTTCTCAATTCAGAGTGAAACAGGTACATTTATCTTGCTGAAGTGTTAATGGGAGGATTATTTAGCTATCATTTCTCTGAAGGAGATACTCTTCTCTCACCAGTATTCCATCTGATCCTTGAGTATAACTCTAGCAGTTTTGATTTCATGGACACTCGTGTTAGATGTAGCCTTAATGCACAGCTCATAATCATTTCAGACCACATCTCAGCACTCTAGGTTCTGGTTCCAGTTGCCACCAAATCCTCTATGGTTTATGTGAGCTGAATGTTTACCTTTAAGCAATCTGCTTAACTTCTCTGGGTCTCAATGAACTTGTTCTTAAGAAAATGGGTCTAGAATCAATAGTCATGAAGATCTTTTCTTCCTCTAAAGGTTTATTTTTCTAAAGCATAATTTTTGTTCATATTTTTATCTATCCTTTTCCTAAAATCCAACATTGACAGAAACATTTCTGTGGCATATTTTATGGAATATAAAAATTGACTTTCCATCCTCTTTCACTTGTCGCATCTTTGGAAGAAAAGAATAATAAAATGTTCGAGAAATTGGTAGTTGCTGTATGTGTTTGAAGGACAAATGTGACTGAAGTTTCTCAGATTTATTTGGTATACCCATTATCTTTAACTGCCAGCAAATCTAAGTCTGTGGTTGGGCTGAGCAAACATCTCTTGAATAAATGTCTTGGTCTCGTTCCTAATTAATATGACTTCTCCCTTATTTAGCTGCATTACAGGCATTAAAGAGAAAGAAGAGGTTCGAGAAACAGCTCACTCAGATTGATGGCACACTTTCCACCATTGAGTTTCAGAGAGAAGCCCTGGAGAACTCACACACCAACACCGAGGTGTTGAGGAACATGGGCTTTGCAGCAAAAGCGATGAAAGCAGTTCATGAAAACATGTGAGTGACTTTGGTTTCCCTCTGCGTCATAAATTCTCTCATTGTTGGGAAGAGCCTTTAGAACTATATGATGATATTGGCAGGAATGAGCTTATTCTTTGAGACTCTTTGATATAGTGAATGAAATGCTTTCTCAGAGAAAGATTAGACGTTATAGGGAACAAAAAAAAAAAAATTAAAAAAGAAATGATGTTCACTTTTGCCCATAATAGTTCCCAGTGCCTTCACAATTTTTAGCTATTCTACCTGTAAATACTTTAACTCTACAATGTTTAAAGCACTTCAATGTCAATATCTGTGAGGGTGTTAGAACTATGGAACAGTGGTTGTCAAGCTTGGAGGGATTCAGAAACTCTCTTGGTGGAGAATTAATAAAGAGAATGCAAATGCCTAGGTTTCTTGAACTAGGATAGAGTTTGGACCTTTTTGTTTTTAACAAAAACAAGTTCTAGCCAATGTTCATGCTAGCCAATGTTTAGGAATGACTGACTTAGAAAAACAGTTATGAGCATGGATTTGGAGGCCAAATTTTCTAGATTATAACCCAAGCTCTACTGCTGACTATCCCTTGGGTAAATTACTTTGCCTCTCCCTGATCCAGCTTCCTTATATGTAAATTGGAGATAATAATAGTACTTACTTGCTTCATGTGGTTATGGTGAGATTCATTGAGACACTAGATGGAATGCATTTAATATAGTTCCTGGCACAAAGTAAGCACTCAGTAATTAATAGTCATAGTGGTAGTGGGGCTGGTGGAAATTTACTTACATTGACACAGGAAATAAATGCCTGATATTTGATCTTTTCCTGTTACTGGACATGATAGTGGAACTTGGGCCAAAGATGCACAAAAGCAGGAAATGCCTGAGCTGTCTAGACAAATTTCTGTAGGATGGGAAAACATGGAAAAGGTAGAAGCTGGGAGCAGTGAAGAATATTAACCTTGCTAATGTTTTCTTGTCTGGATAGTTCATTAACAATCAGTCACCATTTTGACAGCTTCAGGGAGGAGAGCATTAGATTCATTATCAGAATTAGAATTCTCTAAGGTTTCTATAAATTGGGTGCTAAAAATACAAAATCAACCTTTCTCTCCAGGTAGCTTAGCAGCATCATATCATTATGTTTCTTTTGAGAAAAATTCACTGCCAAATTTTAGCTATACATTTCTCATGCTCCTTTTAATAAATATATTCATTGTATATTCATTATAAATAGGATAATAAGGATTAGAGATAAGGGGTAGTCAGGGTGGTAAAAGTATTCTTTTTCATTACTACTTGAAAATATGTCAAAATACTCAGCTTTTACAGTATACAGAGTCAGAGAAATTCACAAAAGATTAATTCCACTGGGAATCAAACTTTCAGTATTTAGGTTACTTAATAATGAGAGACATAGTCACTTCTCTTGTATTCCATCAGTTTGGCCTAGTTTCAAAATTGGAGGAATGATTCAGAGACTGGGTACTATAGAAATAGCTCAGAACCTGACATCTAGACACTGACAGCATAAGCATGGGGTTAGGGGCTAGTGGAGCTTAGGTGCTAGAAATTGTCTTCAAAGTAGCTGTCCATTCTGAACCTGTGGCTACTGGGTTCCTTTGCAGCAGTTGCTGATTCTTCTGAGGGTTATGGGCTTAATCCTGTTCTCTTTAGCAAATTTCCAGGGCATTGGTGCTATAAGAAAGCCCCCTCAGGAAGCCAGGATCTTAGATTTACTAGGTATTCTAGAAATAGGTATTCTGGATCTCTAGTTCCAGTGCTGAGATTTTACAGAGGACTGCAACAGCTTCTACTGAGAACTGCCATCACTCATCTTGTTGTGGTGGTCCTTGGCAGTCCATGGCACCTTTTCCTGTAGAGTTGAGAGACAGCGGCATATATTTAAATTTTACATATGTCCTCCCTGACAAAATTTCAAGATGGATCTGCAAATATTGATTGTTATAAAATAATTTTTTAGTGAGTTTCAAATGTAACAGCTATTTATTTAAGAGGTAACATATATGGATGATTACTTTTTTGTAATGCAAATTATCCTTAAAGTTGATAAATATTATCAGGAATTTTGCTATCCTACTGAAGTAACCATGTGTTTTTCATAAATTGACTCATTTTCCAAATGGGATTATATCTAAATGTATAATTATAAGATAAATCCTAAAAAGTTCAACAAAATATTATTTCCCAGAGATCTGAACAAAATAGATGATTTAATGCAAGATATCACAGAGCAACAGGACATCGCCCAAGAAATCTCAGAAGCATTTTCCCAACGGGTTGTATTTGGTGATGACTTTGATGAGGTAAGTAACATAATATGAAGAATGCAGGATTGTGGCTGCTATAAGGATAGCTTCTCTCTCTCTATATATATATAGTAGGCAGGTTCCTTTAATACCTAAAGAATAAGTGATATTTGCTAGAAAGGTACTTCTCTAAAGAGCAGAATGAAGTAGCTCTGATTTAAAGAAAGATTAACACTGTTTGGCAAACAGCCTCCTAATTAAGTTTTCAGCTGTTAAGGAACAAACAGCATGTGATTATGTAAAGTTAGTGACTTTTAATGGTTGCAGCCTAAATAGCTCCATTAGGAGGAACTGAGTGCTCGCACATCTGGGCAAAACAGAGCAGACTGTGTCACTCTGCAAGGAATAGACGTATCATGCTCTGTAGCCTCTGTTTGTTGCACAGGCTATGAAACAAAATAAATGTGGAGTAGCATTATTAACACACACATTTCATTTCGATTAATCAGTACAATAATACAGACAGACTAAAATTGTGGTGGTGTCCGCACTGTGAATTTCAATTTTTCACTCAAAGCACACACAAATAGGACCGGTACACATTTTAAAATATTTCCAAATCTTAGATTAGCAAAGCAAAGAATCCAACGTCTTGCATCTATGTGATATTAAAAATGATACCTTTCACAAGTAAGTTGCATTTCCATGGAGTCCTAAAACATGAGAATGGGGCATCATCACCTTTTAAAAATGATGTAGACCAGGGATTGGCAAAATACGGCTTGCAGGCTAAATATTTCTTATGGCTTTTTTTTTGTATAGCCTCTAAGCTAAGAGTGGTTCTGACAATTTTAAAGTGTTGTAGCAAACAACAACAACAACAAAGGAGACTGACAGAGAAGATATGTGGCCAGTGGAGCCTATGATATTACTATTTGGTCCTTTATGGAACATGTTTGCTAACCCCTGGTATAGACTAACAAGCTTCTAATGAGTGCACTTATGATGTGGTAGAAAGGGCTCTGGGCTTTTGTGGACACCTGGCCTCTACTATTTATTAACATTTATTAAAAACATTGTGTAAGCCCTTAACTTTTCTTTTTCTAAGACACAAAATCTCATTCTTTTGCCCAGAATTAGGTGCAGTGGCATGATCATAGCTCACTATGGTGGGTTCAAGCAATCCTCTTGCCTCAGCCTCCCTAGTAGCTAAAATCACAGGCATGTGCCACCACACCTGGAGATATATATATATTTTTGTAGAGGCAGTCTTGTTCTGGTCTCAAACTCCTGGCCTCAAGCAGTCCTCCCATCTCAGTCTCCAAAGTTCTAGGGTTACAAGTGTGGACCTTTACATTTCTGACCCTTAGTTTTCGCATCTATAAAATGAAGATTATTGAATCACTGGATTGTCTGTAAAATATCTCAAGTTCTAAAATTCTTTTCTCAATGGTCAAATATGTGTTTGGTATCTACGGGCTGAAAATGATAGAGCAGATGATCGCTCTCTTGTCATCATATTTGCTAAAGAAAACCTCAGTATCTTTCTGGTGCTATTGATAACTATCAAGCACTACTGGTAATTCGGGGGATGCATTTGGCATAGGATAGCTTGTTCTGCCATTTCTGTATTTACCGTGTTTGCTCCTAATTGTTTTGTGAGCAGAAATAGGACACCAGAGTATTCATTCTGATGCCATTTTATTCATATAGCCTATGGAGATTCATAAAGCACACAACTACACTGACCATGCTGTTTCACATCGCCCGATGCTAGACATTTTCTTATTGTATTTCCTTTTCATGCAGTAGATTTAATAGAGGTCAGGCACTCTTTCAGCTCACTGCAAATCTGATAATCATTGACTTGATCAAATGTTATAATTGGCTTAAATATCTCCTTTCTTGTCTCATAGTGTTCTTGCTTTCACTTTAATATAGGATAATTATTTGTTTATGTGCCTCTTCCTCATATTCAAGTATGTGTTCCTTGAATGTCAGGATTGTTGACTCAACTTTGCATCCCAGCACTGAAAGTAAAACCTGTCTAGGAGTGAGCTCTCAGTACATTTGAATGATGAGTGAATTAATAAATAAAAAATCTACTTGGTTGAATACAAGGCTATTCCAGGTCATTTCTAATAGTGACAACCTCAGAATTTCATCAATGACAAATTTAGTATTGATTCTCAGCTTCGCTCTCAGAAGGAACTGGAATCCACCTGAGGACTTATGGAGCCAGGGAGACCTCTCAGACCTGGCATAAGGTGACTTATACCCTTAAGGTCTCAAATTAGCCTTGCCTTTTTAAGATTTTTGTGGATCAGAGAATAGTTTAAGGTTAAAACACACTCTCTTGGACTATTGCTAAAAGAGAGAAATACAGTATACCTACCCTTTTTTGTTTGTTTGTTTGTAGAGATGGGAGGTCTAACTATTGTTGCCCAGGCTGGTCTCTACTTTTGGGCTCAAACAATCCTCCTGTCTCAGCCTCTCAAAGTACTGGGATTACAGCCATGACCTACCACGTCTAGCCCCAGTATACCTCTCTTAAATTGGTGTTTTCTTAACTCAAAGCACAACATGGTTTATATTGACTTTGGTGATGTGATAAGAGAACCATAGTATCACTGATTTTTTAAGTTTTCTGTGCATTATGATTTTGCTATATCTGTTGTTTTATTTTCAATAGTATTAGCCCAAGGAAAAATATTCATTTCCTCTGATTAAAGTTTTATAGATTCTAAACAAAAGAAAAGAACACATTGGTAAAAATGACAGGCAAGGTGTAAATTTCCCAGAAACTGCAGGGAGGTTATATATTCAGCTAGCACAAATTACTTGAATGGCTGTTTACAGAAGTATTATAAGATTAACTGCAACAAATTTGCACAACCCAGAATATTCATTTTTTAATCATTGCTCAGTGTTGCAAAAAAGACTTAGTTTTAAAGTAAATATTCCATTTCACTGGATTCTCACATATCAATTGGGTAGCAGATGTTCTTGTTATTGTGTTTGAGGAAACCCATGTCTTGAAACGTTAACTCCGTAATTCTTCCTTTCTCTTGTGTTCAGGATGAGTTGATGGCAGAACTTGAAGAATTGGAACAGGAGGAATTAAATAAGAAGATGACAAATATCCGCCTTCCAAAGGTGCCTTCCTCTGCTCTCCCAGCTCAACCAGAAAGAAAGCCAACCATGTCCTCTACTGCACACCGATCCCGAGGAGGTCTGTTTCCTAACTCAATGCCTGTGGTCAGATAGTTGCCTGATGTGCTAGCCAGACCCATTGTCATTAGCACGTATTTTTTAAATTAATAAATAAACACCTTTTAAATGTGTAATTCATAACTGTTTTCTATGCTGAAAGTGTGAATGTCACCAATTACTAATTTTTATCCGTTTTTTTCTTCCAGCATCCTCCAGAAGGGCAGAAGAGGATGATGACATCAAACAATTGGCAGCTTGGGCTACTTAAACTAAAACAGAATTTTCTGACACCTAAGTTAATGAGCTATGCATAAGACATAAAAAACATTTCTGCCAAGTTTAGAAGTAAACAAAGACCCAGTTTTATATTTATACTGGATAAATAATTATCTTTTGAGCCTCTTAAGCAAAAGTTAAAAAAGGAATCATATGTAGACATAGAATTGAAGTTGGAAAGGGGCTTCCTGGCAGCATCTTAGAGGTTCCCTCCATATTGATGGGGTAGGGACATGTCTATCTTGTTTACTGCTGTATTTCCAGTCCTGGCACATAGCTGATGCTCTCTATATATTTGTTGAAAGAAAATGGAATTCTACTGACATACAAGACATAAAACAGTTTATAAGCCATCTAAGAGTGATACGTTTAGGATAACTGGGGAAAATAACATTCATTTCTATGTGAATGCAAGTTTACTGTGCGTATCCACATAGCCCATGGTCAACACAAATATACTGTGTCTCTTTTAAGAGAGACTTCTTGTAGAGGAGTCTTGTATGAGTCTAAACGTAAATAGTTTTGCTTGGGTTTTCCAGTTTAAAATTTTAAAAGAGCTTTAATTGACATTTATTATACCAATTAAGCTTGGAATGGGACAATGGATGCGTTTCCCAAAATGTCTGAAAGCACTAACAGCTTCCACTGCTGAGTGAGAATCTCCTGGGTGTAATTTAGCCACTTAGGGAACTGCCTTAACACTCCCAGGCCATTATGAGGCTGTTATGGCTTTGGCATACTAAATGTGTGAGTGTTCTTTCATTTCTGTTTTGTGCTCTCTTGTACATTTATTTATACTTTAAAGCATATCCCTTGTAAATATATATTGAAAAATTGGCAATTAAAGTTATATCTCAATTAAAATTTTGGCCATAATTATTTTTAAATGAAAACAAATTACCAAATTATGTATCACCCATAATATGTTATGGACCATAAAATGACAGATACTATTTGTAAAATGTTCTAGTATTCTTTACATTTGTTTGCCAACATAGTGGAATGGAAAGATCATTAAACCTGAAGGTAAGAGTCCTGGGTTTCAGTCTCTGCTCTGCTGCTAAACTGCCGGACTCCCTGAGTTTCTTCACTGGGAAATTTAAGGGTTGAACTTGATGATTCCTAACAGTTCCAGCTGCCACAGGCCTTTTATGTACACGGTTCTTCTTGGCAACCTTCCTACTCCACACAACACAGACACCAAATCTTACTTATTTCTTAAATCTTAGTTAAAATGTCCTTTGTTTGGGGAAACTTTTCTTGGTCACCCAGACTAAATCAGGTCTCACCACTATAGTCTTTCACAGTTCTCCGTTTTCTCTTATATCACTTATTATGGTTTATATTACATATTTACTTGAATGACTCCATAATTATTGTTGATTTTTCCTGCTGGGTTGTGGTAGCCATAAGTGCAGGGACTATACATATTTCTTTTAGTTCAACAGTCAATCTCTAGCACTCTACACAGTTTCTCATGTACTGTAGGCATTCAATCAATGAATGACAATTAGGTCTTTTAATCTTTTGGATCATGATAGGATTTACTTTCTGTCTTTAAGTAGCTAGAAAACTGGAAAAAATATAGGAAACAACAGTTTTCAGACATTGGACAACAGGCAGCACCGGACAGTGATTCCTGAAAAGGAATACTGGTGCTATGAGCATTTCCAGGGTTCTGGCCTGGAAGGGAAATTCAGCTGAGCCTCACAGTCTTGCTAAGTTGTCAGAATTTGTGGAGAAAGAGTCCTAGAAAGGCAGTTGCTGCAGACAGAGGTGGGCTGGGGGTGGGTGACTGTGGGGGAGAGAAAAAGAGAGAGAGGGAGGTGGGGAAGCAGGAAGGCATGAGCTGTGGTCTGTGTCTCCCCACCCTCCAAATTTATACATTGAAATCCTCATCATCCCCTTCCCCAAAGTAATGGTATTAGGAAGTGGAGACTTTGGGAGGTGATTAGGTCATAAAGGTAGAGTGCTCATGTATGGGATTAATGCTTTTATAAAATAGGACCAAGGGGACTTGTCCATAGCCTCCATCATGTGAGGAGAGAACACAATGAGAAGCCATGGTCTATGAACCAGAGATTGAGTTCTCACCAAACATCAACTTAGTTGATACCTTGATCTTGGACTGTGAGAAAAAAAAATGTGTGTTGTTTATAAGACACCCAGTTTATGGTGTTTTGTTATGACATCCCAATGGCCTGTGGAGAGGTAGAGGGAGGCATAGGAAGGAGAGGACTTTGGAGATCACCAGAGGGTCTCTTCAAGTCTTTGGCCAAGAACTGATATGTGTACATGTATGAGGAAACTACTGAGGCCATGAAGATCAGCTGAAAAGACATAGGTAGGTCAATCCCTAGAGCTCACATGTCCAGGAATAATTTGTGTTCCCATTAGCAAGAGTGGAAAAATTTCCTAATATAGGGGACATCAGGTTGAGTTCTCAGAAGTGTATTGCCTTAGTGGGATCAAATTACACTTAGTATGGGATTAATGCTTTTATAAAATAGGACCAAGGGGACGTGTTCATAGCCTCCATCATGTGAGGAGAGGACACAATGAGAAGGCATGGTCTATGAACCAGAGATTGTGTTCTCACCAGACACCGACTTGGTTGATATCTTGTTCTTGGCCTTGCTAGCCTCCAGAACTGTGAGAAAAGAAAAAAAGTGTGTTGTTTATAAGACACCCAGACATTTAGACTAAAGGCTATTCTGGGCCCACCCCAAAAAGCTTTAAAGCAAACCTCAAATGGATCGAATGATTCTAAGTGACTAGAACTGCATCCCAGAACAAAACCCCCAAATACTTAAAAAATATAAAAATGAACAAGTAACAATATCAAAAAAACTAAATCACTGGCATCCAATAGCATAAAATTCACGAAGTTTAGCATTCAGTCAACAATTTTCATGCATGTAAAAAAGGATGAAAATACAACCCATAACCAGGAAAAAACTAAACAGTAGAAACAGACTCAGAAATGACAGATTATAGAAGCTGAGAATGTTAAAACTACTATTATAAATATACTCCATATGTTAATGAAAACAGCTGTAATAAATACACTTGTAAGAAGGAACGAAGAGAACAAAGAAAGAAGTGTAAGGGGGAAAAGCAGGAATAGTTCTAACCTTGAGGCAGGCATTACTCCTTTCCTGGAAACTTTCTCTGCAGACATTATGTACCCTTATCCACTGCACCTGCATAACCAACTACATCTGCTTCTGTAAACTTGCTTGCTTGCCCACACCTCCAGAATGTTGCTATAAGAGCCCTGGGAAGTCCCAAGTCCTATCTTTAGCCTTCCAGGGTGTAAATCCAAACTACATAAGACAGCCCTGTGTTGCAGCTCACCTCTTGCTGGGAACTAGTTCCCAGCAAGCGGCTGCTGGCCAGCAAGGGCCTTGACTAATAAACCTCTCCTTTGCTAATTTGAGTTGGTGGGCTGTCATTTAATCGCTCGGACTCTACTTCACACTCCATGTGTTCAAGAAAAGAGAGGAGAGCATGAACATGATGAAGATAAAAATGGAAGATACAAAAAGGACTCAAAATGAAGTTCTGGAGATGGAAAATACATGATCTGAAATGAAAAATACAGACTACAATGTGTGGGATAAACAACAGATGAGAAGAAAAGATAAGTAAATATGAAGGTATAACAACAGAAACTATCCTAAATATAATACAGAGAAAAAAAGATGGAAAAAAGTGAAAAAAAAGAACGGAGCCAGAGTAAGCTGTGGAACCATATCAAGCAGCCTAATATTCAGGTAACTGGAATTCTGGGATGGTGGTGGTGGGCTATAGATGAAGGGCAATTTGGCAGAGGGAACAGAATTAAAAAAAAAACAACAAAAAACCTTTAAAGAAATAATGGCCAAAACATTTCCAAATTTCATGAAAACTATGAACCCACAGTTCAATGAAACACAACATACCCCAAGAAGAAATTCTTGTATCTTGCAATAACAAAGGTTACTGCAGGATGTTAAAATGTCAAAACCTCTTGTGTGAGGTCTGAGAGATGCCTGAATCTCTCTCCTCACCCTGGTTAAACATACATGTTTAGCCAGTTCACCTAGGCCCATGAGGTCTAAAGAGTATTCATTAGCCACATGAGATACATACTTGAAATATACCTAGAACGATTGAGGAGCTAAATTTTTAATTCCATTTAATTTTAGTTAATTTGAATTAAAAAAAACTGGTATTCATTCAAAAACTTTAAAAATATAGAGGAATAAACTTTAAATTTTAAACTCAAATTCAAAACTTTAAAACTTTAAACTTAAAAACTTTAAGTATGTTTGGAATAACTTGGGCACATAAATAAACTTTTTCTTTTCTTTCTTTCCTTTTTTTTTTTTTTGAGTTGGAGTCTCACTCTGTCGCCCAGACTGGAGTGCAGTGGCCGCTCCCGGCCACCGCAGCCTCGACCTGCTGGGCTCTGGCGATCTTTCTGCCTCAGCCTTCCGAGTAGCCGGAATTACAGGCATGCGCTACCACACCCGGCTGATTTTTTGATTTATTGTAGAGATGAGGTCTCGCTGCCCAGGCGGGTCTCGAACCCGCAGGTTCAGGCAATCCACTTGCCTCAGTCTCCCAAAGGCATGGGATTACAGACTGAGCCGCGGAGCCCGGCTTCTTTCTTTTTTTAATGAAGGGTTCTTACTATGTCACCAAGGCTGTACTTGAAATCCTGGGCTCAAGTGATCCTCTTCCCTTAGCCTCCCAAGTAGCTTGGACTAGAGGCATGCACCACTAACGTTACTTTTTCAGCTGTAAAATTTATGAAATCTATGTATGGACCAAGTATTTCAAATGGAAATTTGTATCTGATTTGAAAAGTACTCAAAGTGTGAAATACATATTGGATTTCAAACAGTATATTCAAAAAGAATATAAAATATTTCATTAATCATTTTATATTATTACATGTTATTTTGGATATACTGGGTTAAATAAAATATATTATTAAAATTTATTTCATTTGTGTCATTTTATTTTTATTTATTTATTTTGAGTTGGATTCTCATTCTGTCACCCAGGCTGGAGTGCAGAGTGGCATGCTCACAGCCACCCCAGCTTTCACCCACTGGGCTCTGGCGATTCTTCGGTCTTGGCCTCCCAAGTAGCTGGAACTACAGGTGCACACTACCAT